CTTCGGTGACTTCCTTTTGCTGCTCTGCCACAGATCAGTTGACATGGCATGGCTGCTCATGTGGTCTCTAACGTGCTCCATTGATCAGTTTGTCTAGTCACTCACCAGCACCGGGCTATCTTGATAGTGTAGTTTACAGTAATCTGAGAGCCAGACAGTTCAATCCTCTGATGTCATCTTCTTCAGTATTGCTTTTGGCCTTTGTCTTTTCATATAAACTTTAGAGTTGGTTTGTCAATATGTACATAAGGGCTGGGAAGGTGGCTCAGTGGTAGAGCGCTAGCCTTGAGCTGAAGAGCTGAGGGACAGCGCCCAGGCCCAGAGTTCAGGCCCCACGACCGGACCAAAAAAAAAAAAAAAATGTACATAAGAGGCAGTTTTTCTTTTGAGATTGCTCTGGATCTACAGATAAAACTGAAAAGAACTGACATCTCAGAAGGAGGAACCTTTCAGTCCTGAGCAGGGCATCTTTCCACTCACTTGGGTGTACTTCCATTTCTTCACCAGACATTTGTCGTTTGGGTTGCACAGATTCTGGGTATAAGCTGTGCCAGATTTATACCTGATTTACACCAGATTTTATATTTCACTTTTAATGCTATTATATGTGATGCTGTTTGTCAATTTCAAATCCCAACTGCTCATTCCCAATTTATAAAAAAAGTCACTGACCTTGCTGCTCTTACCATAATGTCCCAAGCTATGCGAATTCTTCTACACAATCACGTTGTTCATTTCTTTCTTTGTGTTGCACAAGTCTTGCTTTCTTTCCTTACAGTGCTAGCTGGCATGGCATATGTGGCTGATGAGGATGGGAGCAGGGACCATCCTGGTCTTCATCTCAGTCTTAGAAAGCAGTTCGCGTCGCTCTGTGAAGCATGAATCAACAGCTAGATTTTTGCAGCTTCTTCAAAATGAAGTTCTGTTCTTAGTTTGCTGAGAAGATTGTAAAATTAGGACTGAGTGATGGACTTGTTGAATGCTCTTTCTATGTAGTTGGTATGATCATTATAGTAGTTAGAAGCTGATCTATCCAGGCAGCTTCCATAGGTATATGGGGGTAACATATATATATATAAATTAAATTGAATTTGATAATGTTTTACTGAAGACTTCTTTTTGAGATCAGGGCTTGATGCCACCTTTGTCCTAGCTGGCATTGCACTTGAGATCCTCCTACCTCCACTTCCTAAGTAACTGGGATTATATAGACATGGACTTCCATGCCTGGGAATTGATGTTGGCTCCAAGTTTTTCTTACAATGTCTTCCTCTGACTTTGGTGTTAAGTTAGAATAAGTGTTCTTAAGGAGACTGTAGATGTAGCCAGTGAGACCTCTTTTAGGTTGTCGTTAATTATCAACTGAATGTTTTATAGCAGGCAGTCCTATTGAGCAGGGCGACTCGGATTGTCCTGTTTCCTTGTGTGAATGGTGGCAGATTGTGCCTTCCAAGGACTCAGTCCACTTCATCTCCGGCACTAGGCTGTGGGAGTAGGCTCTTCTCACGGTCCTTGCTATGCTTTCGGTGTCTGTGAGATCAGTGCTGGCATTGGTGGGGTTACTTCTGGTATTAATAATTTCTTATCTTTTTAGGAGGTCAGTTGTGTTAGGTGCATCCATTGTATTCATCTTTCTCGTGAACTAGCTTTTTTGTTTTTGTATTGCTGATTTTTCTCTATTATTATCCTTTTTTATTCCATTGATTTCTGTTCAATTTATTATTATTTCTTTCATCCTGCTTGCGTTAGGCCTAAAATGCTCTTCTTTTTCAAAGTTTCCTAAGATAGACACTTAGGCCTTTGAGTTTAGATTTCTTTTTTGTTTGTTTCTTTTTGTTGTTGTGGTACTGGGATTGGTCTCAGAGCCTAGCCTTGTGGTTCAACTCTACCTCTTGAGCCACATCCCTACTTCTTTTGCTTTTGGTTTCTTTCCCCAGATATTATCTGTCCTAATTGTCCCTGGGTTAGCCTTGGCCTCTGGAGTAGCGGGGCTACGGATGTGCCTGCCACTCCTGGACGATCACCTGTGCGGGCTCTCTCTCGCTCTCAAATATTTGTATGCTTTTAAATGGACAAATCTAAACTGCATTCATTATGCACAGCACTACACATTGTGTGGAAGGGCTGGATTGAGCTAATTAACACATGAATTATTTCACATGCTTATCATTTATTTGTGGTGAGAACCTATTGAAATCTATTCTTTGCAATTAAAAGCTATTCTTAGCAACTTTCAAGAGTACAAAACATTGTTCTACGCTAGCTATTATGCTGTGTAATAGATGTCTTGAACTCATTTTTCCTGTTTAGCTGAAATTTTCTATCCCTTGACATCATTAATACTAGATATCTGGAAAATTCCAAAATATTTGGAGATTCAACCACACAGTCCTATATAACACACACATCAGTCTCAAGAAAAAAAATGGCTTAGCATTGTAAGCTAACTGCAAGCAAAAATATAACTTTAAGATTTGTGGGAGGCGGTGGAATCAGTGCTAGGAGAGCGGTTGTGGCCCTGAGCTCGGGATGGAACAGAAAAATCGACAGGAAGGAAGTAGTGAGAGGTTGGCAGACATGGACAGTGCTGCTGCGTCTCCCTCGTAGGTAGGGTGGGACGGTGGTCAGCGGGAGGGCTGGGGACGGATGGCATGGCTGTGTACTGGCAGGTGGCCTAGGAGCCCTGGCTGAGGAGGAATGGGGGCTCACCTCGCCTGGGAATGGGGGCCTGGGCTCATTTAGACGCTTCAACCACAGCCCTGCCCCTACGCGCTGCCACGGTCAGCCCTGCCAAGTCTACCATCCCCTCCTGGGACCCGAGAATACTCCTTCCCTCCCTCCCTCCTTTCTCCTCTCCCTTCCTCCCTCCTGTCCTCCCCCTTTGCAGGTTTTCTGGCCCCCTTTTCCTTGCAAGGCCTAAAGCCCATTATAGAGTCCTCCCATGGTGAGAGGCAAGAGAACTTTACCGTGTTCTTTCTACAGGCTGCCTCTGCTCTGGGTTCCTAAATGGAACCCCATGCACCAGAACCAGCCCAGGACAAGCACCGTCCTCTCCCTTGCCCAGCCTGGACCGCCTCCCAGGCAGCCCAGCAAACGTGCCCTTCTCGACGCTTCCTCACGCTGCTTCCGCTTCACGCATCCAGTCCCATTTTATCTATAAACAGACTCCTCTGGAAAGCCTTCCTGGTAGTACGCTAATTACCAGGACCAAACACACCTGGCCCTAGTTAGCAGGGATCATTTCTGCCCCCTAGGGGTGGAGAAGAGGCCCTTTTGGGGGAAGGATTAGAAGTAGCTGAGCACCCAGGGGAGCTCATCCTGAAAATTCCAGAATCTAGAGGCAGGTCCAAAGAGACTGGGGGGTTGGGGGGGCGGGGAGAGGGCACTGTCTCCAGGTGGATCCCTGGCAATGGAAGACCTCTGTAGACCTACATCCTGGTACTAGCCAAGGCTCTCCTGGTTGGGGTGGGTGGGTTCTACTCCTCCTGTGGTCCCTGCCCCTCCCCAGTGGGGAGCTGAGTGGAACTGGTCTCTCCTAGGAACCGCAGCAGGAGCAGAGGAGACCCCGCAGGCCCGTCATGGGCACCCGTTCCGTAGGTCCCCTTGTGACCAGTGTGATCTCCATAAGTGGGGAAACTGAGGCTCTGAGGCTTGACGGAGTCTGTGCAGAAGGGAGCATGGGGCCTCCCCTACTCCTGAACCAGGTGACAGGGAACGTGAGTGGACTCAAAGACGAATGGCCCAAGGTCACGTGGCAGCTGCGAGCCCTGGGTCAGCTGCTCCGGCTTTGGAGCCTCGGCGCCCGCATCTGTAACGTGGCCGGCAGCCCCTTCCCCCAGGGGCTAATGGAATGGGCTCCAAGGTTTCCCTGATATCCTCTTCAGGACCCAGCGGGAGCTAAGCAGGCTCTGGGAGGTAATGGTCTCTAGACTGGAAGCAGGCCTGGTCCGGTCTTAAGTGTGGTGGTGGAGCCCTGCCTTGTCCAGAGGTAGTGGAAGAAATGCTCTCTGAAAGGCCATCCTCCAGAGGCCTTGGGAAGCCTTGCTGGCGTGGGATGGGAGGTCTGGAGATGGCAGGGGAGAGGGCGCAGCGCTGGGGCACGAGGTGAGGCAGCCTCACGGTGACCTCTGTCAGTCACCAGCTGTGTGATCTTGCAGTTTGCTCCACCTCTCTGGGCCTGGGGTCAACTGTTTGGTTCGAGGCTGTCGTGAGATGCCCATGATTTAAGGGCAGTTGACAGCTAATTTTGGCCCCTTTGGAGCAGACTCTCTAGAACTGCAGCCTGTCAAGGATGGGAGATGAGGGGACCAAGTGGCCTTCCATCGAGACATTCCTGGGGACATAGACCAGGTGGCATATGACAGACACACACTGACCATTGGACAAGATAGATGTTTCCTTTCTCTCCTATAGAAACCTGGGTTTCAGGGCCCACTGTTCTGCGAAGCTCAGGAACTGAGGCCCTGTCTCCTCTGCATCTGCCTTCTACTTGGTCCAAGAAAGCTCTCAACTGGTCCCCATTTGAGAAGGGGAGATGGGGGAGGAAAGGAGTAGCCTTTGAGCTGTCTCTTTAAGAGCATGACCAGGGAGTGTAAGATGGCCCTCAGGCTCATGTTTTATTGGCCAAAGTGTAGTAACGTGGTCACTTGACCCCAGGGAAGGCTGGGGTGTGTGGTCACTCCATCCCAGGGAAGGCTGAGGTGTGTGGTCACTCCACCCCAGGGAAGGCTGGGGTGTGTGGTCCTCCTTGTGGAGTGCCATGCGCCCGGCAAACCTCAGGGGTTCTATTCCCCAGGAAAAGAGAGAACTGGTGCTTTGCCAGACATGGGGGTGCTGTAGGGGACACTGCGGGGTGCTGAGGGGGAGGTGCCAGGCTCAGTTTGGGGTGGAGTTCGTTGTGGAGGAGACACTTTGCTCTTGAGGTCTCCAAGCTACTGTTCACACATACTTAGTTGCACAGCACTTACTGCTTAGTTCACACCCAGAGCCCACATCTCCAGATGGGGATCCAGATCTGCTTGGACATCCTGCGCTGCCACTGTGCCTACGTCCCTCCTGTAGACGCCCTGATGAAGGGTTATAGCCCGATGAACCCATTGCAGATCAAAAATAGCGCAAGTGGAGAATGCATCAGGACACCTCACCTTGGCAACGGCCCCTCGTGACTGCCAGGCTAACTGCGCACCTGGGCTTCCTCCTGCAGCCCAGCAACCCAGAAGAGCCTGGTATTGTGTAGAGCTTGCCTGGGAAAAGATCCCAGTTCAAATCCCATACTACCCCTTCCACGGAGAGCACGTGCTTCATACCCTCGCGCGCTGACAGCTGTAGCCTGAACCCTTCGCTTGGAGGCCGCCTGCATCTTCTGCGAGGGAGGCCAGTGGTTCTCCTCCGAGTGTGGCCTTCCCTGGGGCAGAGGCTGCAAAGCAGGACGCACTGTCAGGTCTGAGGTGAGGCTCTGTCTCCTCGGCTGTCCCTCAGAGTCAAGTGACTGCGGGAAGCGGGGTCTCCAGGTTTCCCTCTTCCCACCTCCAGGGACCTTAGGGTGTTAGGGGTTCTTGGTCCCCAACACACAGACTGTGCTCATTGCGTACTGTGGAGTCTCGGCTTGGCTCTTTTGCTTCTTTGTTATAACGCAGAAATGCCCCTGTACCTACTCCCAAGACACCAGCTTGGGTGCTGGGTGGGAGCCAGCCTGGGGACCTCCAGGGGAGAGGATTTTACCTGGCTGCCTGCGCTGGCTCAGAGCCTGTTGGTACAGGGGCTTAGCCAAGTATCAGACAAGTACCTGTGGCTCTCCACAGACCTGGGATTGTGTTCTTCCCTCTCCACTCCCTGCCTTGGGGCTTACAGGCAAGTTATAAGCTCTTTTCTCTCCCGAGTCCCTGACACTGCTCCATCTTCAGGGCAGTGTGACTTTTTAATGGTACTGGGAGTTTGAACTCAGGGTCTTGCACTTTCTTGGCAGGTGCTCTACCACTTGAGCCATACCCACAGCCCTTTTTAAAGTTATTTAACAGGGTCTTATGCTTGTTGTCTGTGGTGGGCCTATGACAGTGATCCTCCTTCCTATGCCTGCTGGGTAGCTGGGATTACAGAGGGGTGTTACCATACCCAGCAGGATAGTGTGAATCTTGTAATAGGCATGTGTCTGTTTTTTTTTTTTTTTGCTGTAGCTGCTTAGGAACTCAGTGCCCAAACTGAAGTCTGGCAATGGGTACCACGCTCTTAATGCTTTCCTGCTATTATTTCTTTATCTGCCCCTTTACTCCCTTGGAAACAAGGTGGAGGGCCACACCGTTTGGATGCTTCTGAGGTCTGAGGAAGGAGGCTCCGTGTGGAAGAGGCTGGCAGCTGCGTGCTGCGCCGGCGGTGGCCACGTCCAGGGAGAGCTGCCCCCCTCCTGCAGGCCCGCACTAAGAGGAACAGAGCCAGGGACTTGGCCCAGAAGTGTCCTCCTTTGGGGCCTGAGGGAATCGTGGCTCCTGCGCCGGGGAAGGGCGCTCAGGCCCCCAGCACACAGCCGGTGGCGCTCCTGCTCCTCACCCCAGGGACCCCTCATTTGAGGTGTGACTGAGGGGTCCCATCTAGGCCCCAGGTGGCCTCCTTCCCAGCGTCCCCTCCAGAGGCCCTCCTCCCCTAGCCTGCTGCTCTCCCTGACTCCAAAAGGAAGGTGCCCGAACTTTCTGGAAAGGATTGGGATGTCTGGTGTTTGTAAATTTCCCTGTCACTGGTGTTGTGTTCTATGGTGCAGGAGAGGGAATGGGTGTGTCCACTTCATTGCTTCTGAAAGGTCTTGGGGTATCCATGAACACAAAGGGCCTCAAGACTGTGGCCTAGTGGAGAGATGGGCGCGGGTAGGGTGGGTGGGGTGCTGGGAGGGGACAGCGGGGGGAGGGGAGCAGGTGCCATGTCATCAGTGACAACTATTGTATTTCCTTTCAGTCTGCTTTCAATGCAGGTGCACACCACACATGTATGGGCATGTGTGTGAGTCTGTCTTCCTGCAGTGGAGACCAGGCAGATTTTATCTCGTCTTCAGATTTTCTGCAACTTGGTTTTTTTTTAACCCCCATTTTCTGGTTCTGCCTTCTTTCTGCTTGCCATGAGCAGTGCCCCTACCCTCAGCCATTCAGCAATGTGTCTCTCCATTCTGAGGCCCTCTTCACCAGCTGCTCTACCCAGAGGTCATAACCACTGTTCACAGTGACCCCGCCCCCCCCCCCCCCCCCACAGCTGGCCCGTACCTCACCCTGCTGGACTGCAGGCCCACACTGGCTAGCGGCTGTCCAGTTGTAGCACTGTGATAAATGTGTGGGAAGGGGCTGGGAAGGTGGCTCAGTGGTAGAGCGCTTGCCTTGCATGCCTGAGGCCCTGGGTTCGATTCCTCAGCACCACATAAGCAAAAAGAAAAAAAAGCCGGAAGTGGCGCTGTGGCTCAAGTGGTAGAGCGCTAGCCTTGAGCTGAAGAGCTGAGGGACAGCACCCAGGCCCAGAGTTCAGGCCCCACCACCGGACCCCCCCAAAAAAACGTGTGGGAAAAATGGGTGAAAATGAGAATGATCGCTCAGAGCTGTGCCCGAGCTGTTAGCTCCCCTGGTGAAGAGGACAAACATGCGTTCTTTGTGGGGGGACAGAATGGGGCTTGCTCATTTGTATGCCTCAGTGCCCTGCATGGACCTTGGCATACAAAAGATACTCACCCGCTAAACGTCAGCCGAGTGAGTCTGGCTACGTGCGTCATGCAGATGTTACTGCAATGACAGAAACACAACTCATACTAGTTTAAGTGAAACATTGCTTCTCACGCTGGGAAGTCCAAATGCAGCCCTAGCTTCAGGCATAGCTGAATCCAGGAGCTCAGAGCGTGTGGGGACTCAAGACTTCTTCCCTTTCTGTCTCCCCGTTCTCTCTGCCTTGGCTGTCTGAATGTAGGGTGAGGAAGGTCTTGAGAATGTATTTTTTTAAATGGTTTAAGGTCACAGATAAAGAGAGAAGACCACTCCCCCCCCCCCTTCCCCGCCAAAGCTCCACACAACAAAACTCTCACGAAATAGGAAGATCTGGGTCTGGGTCACGTGCCTTGTCCTCTTAAGACAAAATTGAATGTGATGGCTTCTGACAGGAAAAGGGGCCATTATTGGAAGGGGAGGGAGGAGCACTGGCAAAGTGAAAACCACTTCCTATTGTTCAATAAACTGTCCAATGTCAGACCCAGATAATGAGGAGGGAGCAGAAGATTTCTCCCCCATCATTATTGTAATGGAAAAACCCACCACGAGTCCAAGTGAATCATCATCATCCTGATTTGCAAGCACAAGACCGGCTCTGAACAGTCCTGTAACTCAGCACGGACAAGGAGATGGAGGGACTGTGAAGGGGTTCCACACCCTGAGGTGCCACGGGAAGAGATGCCTCTTCTTCCTTGGTGTTACTGAGCTGGGATATGGCAGCAGACAGCCTGTGTCCTCCTCCCCTCCCCCGCCCCCGGGCGTGGGTGTGCCAGCTATGGGATGAACGTGGGGAGTGGGGCTGGGGGAGGGGGACAGGGAAAGCTCTGTGTCCTGCAGGACTCCCCCTCCGGAAGCACCGGCAATCATCAGGAAAATCTGTTGGGAAGGGAACCAGCAGCTTCTTGGGGCAGAAACACCCTAATTGATAACAGCTGTCATGTTTCCTGTGGCACCGAACAGAGCTGAAACTTAGGTTTCACAATTTACTAGCTGAGTTCACGAGCTTTTGACAGTTCAGTCATATTTCCTGAAGTTATAAAAAATATTTTCTTTTCTTGGGGTGTGGCCACTTCTATGCCTTCACCCGCTTGCGTGGCTTCACCCCACCACACAACCTGGGCGGAGAAAGGATTCTGCCATCAGACAGGGTCCCCGAGATGTGTCAATTATATTGATGTGAAAAGAATCCATTTCCTTGTTAGATCTCATGGAATTTCACGGATGCTCAGACTGACAGTCCTGACTGAGCTGCAGCCCACCCAGGTACTTTGGGTTCTCGAGTCCCTCAGCTGGGGAGACCAAGAGCCTGGGTAACATTTGGGGACTTGAAAAAGAGACTTACATTGTTTGTGCTAAACATTTGAGCTGTAGGCACTCAGATCGAGGAGTCCTTAAGTTAATTGTCTCCCCCACTATAGCCAATTGATTTTGAGTTGGGTGAGTGAATGGATGGGTGGGTGGGTTGTGTATGGATGGTAGATTGATGGATGAGTGAATGGCTGGATAGATAACTGGATGAGTAGATGGGTGAATGGATGGATGGGTAGGTGGGTGGGTAGATGGACACAAGAGTAGAAGTTAGGATGGATGTGTAGATGGTAGATGGATGGCTAAGTGGATAAGTGGGTGAATGGATGCATTAGTAGGTGGATGATGGATGAGTGAATGGATGGATGGATGAGTGGATAGGGGGGTGTTTGGATGTATAGATGAGAGTGTAAGTAGGAGAATGGATAGTGGGTATATGGATGGACACAGGAGTGAAAGTTTGGACAGATCAACGAGTAAATGGATGGATAAGGGATAAGGAGGTGGATGAGTGAAGGGTAGATTAGTGAGTGGATTGATGAGTGGATAGGTAGCTGAGTGGGTTGGTGGGTAGCTAGATGGATGAAAGGGTAAACAGGCAGATGGGTGGATACAGGAATGGAAGTTTGAATGGATGGATGGATGGATGGATAGATAGATGGATGGACAAGTAGATAGGTAGGTGGGTGAAATGATGCAAAAATGAATGAGTAAGCAGATGAATGGATGGGTGGACACAGGAATGGAAATTTGTATAGATGAGCAAGTATATGAATGAGTGAGTGGATAGGTTGATGAATGGATCGATGGGTGGCTAGATGCATAGATGGATGAATGAGTGGATAGATGTATGGAAGGGTACAGGAGTGGAAGTTTGGATGGATGGGTGTGTATGCATGGATGGATGGATGGATGGACACAGGAATGGAAGTTGGGATGAATGGGTGGGTGGTGGATTTGGGATGGGTGAAGTTTTCTGAGCCAAATTAAAGTGGGGATGGGCAAGTCTCCCTCTGGCCCTCCCAAGGGTGCCTCTCAGCACTACTACCTCTAATCAAGGAGAGAGTGGGCCCTCTCCCCCATCCTGTCCTCTGGAAATTCCCACAGCTTGAAAGTAAGGGTTCAGT